GTAGAGCATGTGAGGTTTAATACCTTGAAAACTTGTGAATACTACGTGTAGAACATGTGAGGTTTAATACCTTGAAAACTTGTGAATACTACGAGTAGAGCATGTGAGGTTTGAACTATTTTCATGAACCTGGATTGGGGATAGGCATAGGGCTGCAGCTCCCATTTCATTCACCTGGAATTTAGGCATACTTTAGGCATTTAGGCACTATTAAGGGAGTGGATAAAAAACGTTGATTTTCAAAACGTCGAATAACAAAACATTGATGATACAAAACGTCGAACAAAACGACGAGTTGAAGCATGCAGTCAACGTTTTGTATCATCGATGGTTTGTTATTCGACGTTTTATTATCGACGTTTTGTACCCATCCCAAATTAGACAGTAAACACAAAAATATAATGAAAAATATAAAAAAAAAGATATACGAAAACCTTGTTAACAACAATTAAAGTCAAAGTAAAGATTAGGATTAAAAGAAAGAAGAAATACATAATTGAGAATAAAATACACATCTGACCATGAAAAAACATATATGTATTTAACAATACTTTTATCTCTATCGTGATTTAATAATGATTCTTACAATATAGAACTCTCTTTTAATATTATTATAATTTTTTTACTCGCTGGTCATCTCATTTCTTCTTTTCTTTTCATCTAAACTTTCACTATTTCATTCTACAAAAATTTTTAGAATGCTAATGAAAGAATTGATTTTTTGACAAAGTGAGGGGAGAATAAAAAACGAATTTAACCGTGAAGTTTGTCAACAAATCACGTGTTCGAATAATGCTTACCAACATGGAGGAGTCAGATTGGGGAGTTTTGGTCACAGAAATATCAGGCCTAGACCTTCATTTGGAAATTGTTTATTGTCTATTTGTGTCCTCAAGTAAAAACATTTTATCTAGGAAATATTTTTTTTTAGAAAAATGATGTTAATGATAATTGTAAAATTATTATATTAAAATTGGTTATCCTGCCCCCCCCCCTCTCCCATTCATTATCTGTTTTATTTTCTAAAAAAAATATAAGCTAAACAAGTATACTGTAACCCCTTGTGTTATAGTTTTGACTGCTTCAAAAATTAAAAAAAAACTTGATGGAACACATTATATCCTTCTCAATATTTTATAACAAGAAGATTAGGAAAACATACATTAAATAACAAAAAATAGATGCAGAGAAAATTTTTTTTTTAAATTTGAAAAAGGAAAAAAAAAAGTTTTTTTAATAAAAATATGGTTAAAAAGTTAAAGCTAGGTTTTTAAAACAGGGCAGACGTAAAACGATTCAATATTAAATCAATTAAGACACTAATTTGATCTTATCATTTGTTTACTGGGATAAACTAGGAGCATAAAAAAGAAGCAAAAATTTAACTTACTTTTAAAAAAACAATGACAATTTACAATTTCCTCATAATTTGTGAATTTTCTCCCTCCTCCATATTTCCTAGAGAAAGGTCACCAGTTTTCTGGAAATAACAATGCTATAAAAAAGACAGATAGTTTAAATCTACCTCGTTAATATCATGGGTTTTTAACAGTAAACAAAACTAAAAACTAAAAAAATGAAATAGAACTAAAAATAAATTATATTTAACAATAAAAATCGAGTAAAAAAGTTTAAGTCTTAAATAAAAAAACACAAAAACTGCTTTCATCATATTCATTAATTAGATTTTTCTCTTTTTAAGAAAAAAATGCATGGTATATTACTCATTGCTACTCCGGTAAAGATCTGGCATGAACTCTTTTGATCAGTGCTTGGGATCTATTTAATTTTGATGCTGATCCGGATCCTGGAACCGCAATGGAAAGATCCAGGTCATGTACGTTTCTTAACGATTTACTGATTTTTTTTAACAAAGCAGAATTGTAAATTTTTTTCGCTTCCTTTTTTCACTTTGACTTGATTAACCATTCAGAGATAAGGAAATTTTAATAATCTCTCTTTCTTTTAACAGTAATTTGGGTTTTGAGGATGAACAAGTTTTTTTATATTTTTTGGTTGATATTTTGCCCCTTGGATCCGGATCCGTAGATCCGCATATTTTTGCAAATCCGGATCCAGGAGGCAAAAATCTTGCGAATCCTATCAGGATCCTAAGCACTGCTTTTGATTAAAGGGCACTTGAAATTAAGTAGACGATTCCTTTAAACTAAATCAAAATACACTTTTACTTAAAATTTATTTTAATTTTTAGTTCCATAAAAAATTTACTTTCTTTTTCTTTACCTCTAGTTAAAATCTATTCTCTGGATAACCCAGGGGCATATTTCTGAAAGAGTATCGATCAGAAATCTTCTTTGTGTTACTTCAATATCACATTGGTGGTACTATGTACTTGAGCCTATAAACACTGTACTCTTGAGTAGAGAAGAACACCTTTTAGATAATGGGAGAATATGAACTTTATATCTAGTTTCATTCTTTATATTTATCATGAATATTAAAAGCTTTTAAAGCATAATTCGTTATTATTTCTTGAGAATTATATCTCAGCACTCAGCCTTTATTATGACAATGAAAGAGAATTATTATATGTTATATTGTGACAATGAAAAAGAATTATTATATGTTATATTGTGACAATGAAAAAGAATTATTATATGTTATATTGGGACAATGAAAGAGAATTATTATATGTTATATTGTGACAATTAAAGAGAATTATTATATGTTATATTGTGACAATGAAAGAGAATTATTATATGTTATATTATGACAATGAAAGAGAATTATGTCATGTTAAATTGAAGATCTTACATGTATTGATATACAATAAATAAGATGCAAGAATGGAAATTGTTTAATGATGTGAGGAAATAATCTTGATATATCAAGACTTTTAACGGGTTTTAACATCCACGGTCATAATTTTTAACTCCTAAGAAAAATGACGCTATTATATTTGCTAGATTCCATTTGTAATGGCCAATTTCTTAGACGCTCTACCATAGGTAGAACCATAGTCACACTATGGTTACGCTTTACCAGAGCAGTGTAGATAGATAGATACGACCTATAGTTGTACCTATGGTTAAATGAATAAGAATAAGAGCTTAACATAATATGCAGTGTACAGTGTACAAGTTTAGTGTACAGTGTAATAGTTTAGTGTACACTGCACAGTGTACAAGTTGACTGTACTGTGTAGTGTGTACACAGTGGGCTACTATGGAACAGAACAGACAGTGTAATAAATAAATAAAATAAATATATAGATATATCACATTAGGGTTTTAAAAGGTTCCATCTCCATTTTTAATCTTTGGTTTCAACAGCTCCTAAAAAGAACACACTTAAATACAGATACTTAAATACTTAATTGATATTCATATCTTTTTTATTCCTCCAAAAAATCAAAATTTTAACAATAATCGTTAATTAAAACTTATCAACACTCGACTACACTAAGCCAATAGTCATGTATCCATATTAAATATTGATAGAATTAAAAAAATCTCTAATAAAACGAAAAAATAATTTTTTTAATTACAAAAAAACTACTGTAAGAAAACTTTGCTTTATCTGAGCATGTATGAATAGTGTACATCAATTGTTTTAAATAAAGATTAAAAAAGAATCTTTACCGAATTATTTAGTAAAATAATTTTCTCCTCTGGCTCCAACATTTCCACTTTCTTACTTTGATCAGTGTGGCTGAACCTAGTCAGAAATTTATCAATTATCATATTTAAAAATAAGGAATTTAAAGCAAAAACTGAGAGATTGGCGACTCTTTTAAAGTCTTTTTATCGCTGATCCAGGGAAAATAATCAAAATAAAGATTTAAAACCTAAACTTTTTCAAAAAGGTATCAAAATAAAGGAAAAAATATTACAAAGTCTGCGGAAATTAATTCTGTAAAACATATAAATTATAATTGAATTTTCAGAATAAAATAATCCGGAATATACAACAAATATTTTAAATCAGATTAGGTATTTTACATTTTCATATTTTCCAAACTTACAGTTTTCAGCAACTATTAAATGCAATTATTTCTCCACTTTTCTTTTGTTCTTGCTACCCAGTATCTAATCTATTTTACTGCATTTTTTTTGGCATGAGTTGCATAATTCCTTCAAGTTATGTGCTTGCATTTTCAATTACAATACACTGTTGGTGCATCAACAGCAATATTAAGAAAAAATATATATTTTGACCTGGCTCCAAAGTCTGACTGATTGGTAACTAGAAACATCTGTGTTGACTCCTGGGACATATGAACTAAAGGGACAAAGGTCTCAACCTCAGGTTCACGGGTTGACACTATTAGCTCTCCTATAATCGATCGATCGATCAATCAATCAATCAATCAATCAATCAATCAATCAATCAATCAAAAAATAAAACCAACCAGTTTACAATAAAAGCAATACAAAAGTCTTCTACACAAACCCCCGCTAATCTTACCAATCGATAAACCAACCAACTAACCACCTATAAACTAATACATTAATAAGCAGACCAATCAACTCTCAACTATTAATCAATCAGCCAATGTGCCAACGAATTGATCAATGCACCAACCAAATCAATCAACCATTTATCAAATCAACAATGATTCAACCAATGAATATCAAAGTATTCAAAAATCAAACATTGAGCTTCTGCATTGACTTATTTTAGGGGTTTTTCATTATAGGGTTTATTATCAGATTTTTATAACTTAAAAAAAAAATTATACAAAAAATATTTCGAAAACTGATTCCGAATTTAGTATTATTTGGCCAACTATCCCCCTTTACAACTTTTAAATTATAGATTTAGCAAGAAGTAGAAATAGAAAGAAAAAAAGCTTCGCCATGTTAATATCAACCCCTGTTTTCGTTTTGCCCTTGATTAGTACCTTCAACCACTGATATAGTCTCCTGTATTGAGTAAAGGTTGGGATGGGCTTGCTCTAGTTCCTCCAGGCTTAACTCAGGATGAACCTTGAGAATATGTTTCTGCAGGTAATCTTTCCTAATAAACAACCAGATTGTTGGTTTCTTTGTAGTGCAAAATATCAAAACGGCTGAACCTATCCCACTCAAATATATCGTGGTATCTCAGAAGATTTTTCTTAATGATGACAGAATGAACGAAGAGTTGAAGATAAATTAACAAAAAAAGCATTGGTTTAAGAAAGATCAGTTCTCTGCTGAGACCCTAATACAAGAAGAAAACTTATGTTTACCTAGCAGACCGTTGGTTACAGAGCGGACACCGAAAAGGTTCTGATTTTGTGTGAGTACGAAGATGCCGCACAAATTTGTTCTTCTGATGACATCTGAAATTATTATTTTATCGTAAAATTATAAGAATGGTTATTTTTAGAAGGGTAAAGTCACTTTGACCAATTTGAGTAACATAGAAGGGGGTTTCCCTTAAAATACTAGACAAATAATGAGCAGTGCTAAAAACATTTATCCCGACACTCCAATATCCCAAATGTTTAAAAATTGGTCAGAGTGACCGTCATCACAAATAGACATTTCAAAAAAGATTATTTATTATTTTTTTTTCTTCGAAAAACTTTAATTGTCCCTGTCAACTACCTGTAACTACACTGGGAACAGTTCCATTTAAAAAGACCAAGATGTCCTTTTTCACATTTCTTCTGCTCGGAACTATTCCTAAAAATATTGATTGAATAAAACTATAAAATATATATTTGTTGTACAAAATGGTCAGGTCTAACTAGAGATCAGTGACAAAAACAGTCTCAAAAACTGACAGAAATAAAATTTCAATAAATGTGGAACTAACATCTACTTTTTTTACTCTACAGAGGTTTGATCCATCAACATCACCATCACCGAATCTTAAAGTGTTTTTGATTAAGTCGAAGACCATCTGGAATCAAATTCAAGCAAGGTTTATAATTGAAGTTAAAATTAAGTAACACTTTATTTCCGTTAAGTTACTGTGAACATAGTTTCAAGTTTTCCTACAGATGAAGAGTGGTTTGTGCGATTCACAAATGTACCCTTTATAACTCAATCGGAGAAACAATTAAAAGGATATTTGACGTGTTCAATTCTAACAATTTTCAAAATTGTCTCTGCAGTATAATTTGGCTTAAAATTAGATTACCACAATTAAAAATAATCAATTTCTGGCTGGAAAAGAAGGAACATCACATTCATCCTTGATCAGATAAAGAGTAACGTTGTAAATTGGACACGTCATTTTTTTATTAAGGAGCACTTGAAGTTGCGTGCATCCTCTGTAAATGATTTACCTCAAAACAGCAAAGTAAGCACTTTTGACAAGAAAATAAAAACGACAGGAACCTATAATTCATTTAAATCCAAGGGGTAAAAACATCAATTCATTAACAGAAAACTATCAAAAAGTTTAAAACACTGGGATAAGAACAAAAAAAGTTGTTTTGAACATAAAAAATCTCAAGAACTATAATGGGTCAACCTCGACCGAAATATATTTACAAGAAATGAGGAAATAACAGTCCCCACCAGGGGGCGGAAACGTAATGTGTTTGTGTCTGTACCAAAAGAGGGTGCGTGTGTGATAAGGAACCGAAAGTTGTACTGTAAGTGTATACAGTACAAAAGAATCTCGGTATTTGTACAGTCTAGGAGAGTAAATTTTTTTATTCTTAATTGTTTACATAAAAATTAATTAAAATATTCATGTACTATATTATTTGTATATTTAAGTCAACACTATAGGCCAAATATTCATGCAAAGAATATAATTTGATTAAAGTTTACAATAAACTACTAGTTATTCAAGCTTAATTATAATTGACGACATTGTTCTGCACATTCCTTGACTGTAATCATGTGTGTGAGTCTGTGCCAAGAGTGTGCGTGTGTAATAAGGAACCCGTATGCGTTGGCTTTCTCGTGCCAGACCAGCGCCATTTCCTTTCCCTTTAATCTTATTCCTGGTCCCCACCCCTCCGAGCCCTGACTGACATTTACCTGTAAAATTTAGCACAGGTAGCACAAGGATATTTCCGCTCCCCTGTGTGTCCAGCGATATGGAAAGCATATGCTGAAAACCCTTTATAACCTCGACCACAGAACTCACAGAAATACCTTGATATCCATCAATCAATTAATAGAACAAAATAACATGATATTCATAAATTGATGAGACAACACTACTTGGTTATCAATCACTAAATACTAAGTCAATAAATCAAAACAATCAAATATTTCGCTATCAATCAATCCATCCAACCAAAAATATGTTCTTAACAATCAACCAATCCAACACAAATAATTCGTTATTAATCAATCCAATAAAATACCTCGTTATCAATTAATCCAACAAAAACTTTGTTATCAATCAATCAATTAATCCAATAAAAATACTTGACTTTCAATCAACCAATCCAACAAAAATATTTCATTATCAATCAATCCAACAAAAATACTTTCTTATCAATTAATTTATCCAATAAGATACAACAAAAAACCTTTATTTTCAATTTATTAATCAAACAAAATTACTTTTTATTAATCGATTAATCCAACAAAAATACTTTTTATCAATCAATTAATCCAACAAAAATACTTTGATATCAATTAATTAATCCAACAATCAATCACTATAACAAATATGGTTTGAATAAAATTCATCTAGATTCTAGCTAGAGCATACAATTATTCAATTCAACAAATATTGTAGTCGTAAGACAGTAAAATTATATAAATCCTTTATATATTCCATTCTTGCAATTAATCAATCAACTTGATAGCAATAAAATAATCAAATCATAAAGTTCGTTTAGTTAATTATTGAAACAAAAATGCCTTTTCCTGGAATGAACCCACAAATAGATTAAAAAATGATTAGGAATAATCAAAAACAAAATATAAAATCCAATTTGCATCAATTTATACACAACAAAAGTTATTTCTATATTGATAAATTTCCTAAGTTTATCTTTTTCCGTGTGTTGGATTTTTATGTGTATCTGCAAATCTTTCACTAACTGTCCACAGATATGACACGCCTGCTGACTAAAAAAAATAACACTTTACCAAAACTTACATTATCTAATTCATTTAGATTACAAAATGCTTTTTTATAGAATATAGATACCTCGTATTATGCCTTTTTATGTGCTTTTTCAAAAAGTTTGTATTGCCAAACTCTTTTTGACAGATAGAACATTTTGTCTCTCCTTCTTTTACACTAAAAACGAATTATAAATGACTAGTTCACATGAAGTGATGACTTATTACTCGGATATGATGGTTGTTGTTCTAATTATAAGTATTGCTTATAAAAATAGGGGCGTATTAAAATAAGAATAATTAACCAGTGCTTAAGATCCCGATCCGGATCCAACGAGCAAACTATCAAATAAAAACTGCAAAAAATATCTCAAAACTCAAATCTTGACTATTGAAAAAAGAGAGATTATAAAAATTGCCTTATTTCTGAATGGTTCATCAAGTTTTAGCAAACAAATAAGCAAATAAAATAAGACAACAATTTAAAAATTCAGTAAATTTTACAGAAATAACCAGAAACCGGATACGGATATGGATCCGGATCCATTTTTTCCAGTGCGGATCCAGGATCCAGATCTGCATCAAAGTTAAAACTTACTCTATGTCCAGAAGTGGTTTTCTCCCTCTTCTTGGCAGATTATGAACTTTCTTTAAATGTTCTAAAAATACGAATATCAAATAAAATTGATTAAACGGTTAATGTATTTCAAAATGACCATAAATTTAAAAAAGTTAAATGCCCGGTCAGCGCAATAATGATGGAGGCAATTTTTTAAACTAAAAATAGATTATTTTTTTTGCAGATTTTAAAGAGGTTTACAGAGGGTATCTATGTGCATCAAATAAGTAACCCTTTGACAATTCATTCATAACAGTCCAATAGAGTTTACAATATTTTTGTCAAAAATTGCGTTGATTGATTTAAAAAAAAATTTAATTATGTATAAAAATGCAACAAATTTAGCAGGGATTGACTGAACTATTTTTTTGTTGTTCTATTAAAGCAGACAAAATGCAGGAAAATGAAAAAACAACAGGCCTACCTCTAAGTTTAGATTTGCCTAGAAAAGGCTGTGAATTACATCCTTCTATTTGACAAAGAAACTCCGTGGATTCCAGCTTTTTAGTTGTTGGTCGTCTTTCCCGTTTTAAGACCGCGGGATCTTTCAAACAGTTAGAATTAACACAGCTTACGTACAAAAAGAACTTAAAAAGGGATTTCATTTTTCCAATTTTGGGAAAATATAAAAATTGTGATGCTTGGGAAATTGGAAAGTTTCAATTCAAATCGACTTACTATTCAAAAATGATAAAATAAAATGTGAAGAAAAACAAATTTGAATCTAGCTCTAAGAACAAAATCCAACACGATATTATTCATCAAATCAAAAAAATGTGACAAATCTAAAACTGTATAAAAGAATAAAAAAAAATCTACCTGGAGTTTGTTCTAATTCATGTTTATCCTCAGGCCTTTCACTGTAATCACCCCTTTAAAACCAGATTTTAAGATATGTCCAGTTCAGGAGATTGATTAGTGCTTAACTTAACTAACTTAAACTTGATTTTCTTTTATCACTTTGCCTTTGCAAATTGATGGTGTAAACCCTACACATTTTTCTATATTGATAATTTTATGATTTTATATATTTATTTATCATTTAAACGACATCAAATTCCAGAGCTATAAGGAATAAGGATTGGAAAAATAGAGAATGAGAGAGTAGTAACTTAGTAAGTTCCTTTAAATTTTAATTAGTTTTAAAATTAGTTCTTTAAAAATCATACCCCCCCCCCCCTTAAAACTTCTCCCCCAATAAAGAATAAAACATTTACTTTACCATGGAAGTGCTTCGCTTTCTCCGTTTTCATAGTTTTGTTCTTTCTTAAAATAAATGATTCAATAAACTGCAGTGGAACCAATCATACTGTGTAAAAGTATTAAATTTGCTAATCCAAAAGAGAAAAAAAGATAAACTATGGTTTTGAATTTTTTTTTAATATTTATTTTTAGTGCTTTAAGAAATTATAACATTTCTATTTATCTCAAACAAATTCATGGAAATATTAAATTCTTTAATTTGATTTAGAAAGGGACTGTATTTGTATCATGAAGTCAGTTAGTAGAGTGAGTGGCATGTCTGATTCACAATGGTACCCGGCCTTGAAAGCGTTGTCTGATCAAGAATGAAAAAAAACCCACCTATTAAGCTAGAATAACTCATTTTTCTTTCAATATATTGATCAAATATTTAGTGAAATAAAAAAGGGTACCGTTGTGTATCGGACTAGACCTTCTTTAAATGGAGGATAACTTGAAATTACAACAACAGTCCCTTTAAAAAATATTAATTCTATATTTTATATGTTATATATCTCATTCCTCGTTGATTTTAAATTGTACCATTGTAATTGTGTACGAATAAATAGAATAAATAATTAAATAAAAAACCTTTAGGTCGTCAATATTATCATAGTCCTCTAAGACAGGAAAGTCATCATTTATCACATCCTCCTCCGTCCTATTTTCTTGGTCTTGGTCCTGAGCGTCCTGAAAAATACATTTCCTCAAGTACTGTGAGTAAATATTTGTTTCTAAATAAACAACTACAAAATTATTAAATAAATTCAAAATCATAAGGTTTTCTTAATCTTTGATCATCTGTTACAAACCTAGCTTGCGATTATGTTTCTTCTTTAGAACTTATTTATAAGAAAATATACAAAATTTAATATTAATGCAAGGATATATTTGTAACAAACAAATGAAATGTTTGAATTTGCTGTTCATAATTTACTCTTTATTCCAAGGTTCATGAGAACAATAACAATAACAGGTGAGTTCTGAGGTGAATGAAATAATAATCAAATTAATATTATGCTTTGCTTGTTTTTGTGTTTCTGTGTCTTTAAACGTAAACACGGCTAAACCGATCGCGCATAAATATTTTGTGGTACCTCACATGATTTCAGGGGAGGTTTACAGATGTTAAGATATAAAAAATCTAGATATTTCAAAATCTACAAAAAAATAAAAATTTTGAAAATTTTTATTTGATAAATTGTTAGGAAAACTTTAGTTTGTGGCAAAAACTCAGTTCCTATGATTGAGGAAATTTGGTCAGAATTTAATAATCGGATTTTTATTTGATAAATTAAAAAGAGAAATTGCACGCAGATAGAGCAACAATTTAATTCATAATTGTTGGAACGGATTTTGAGCAAAATATCAAAATGTCAACAATTATAAATAGAAATAAAAAAAAAGACTTTTTGCCAGAAATAGAAGAATATATTTTGAAAACTTTTCGACTAATATAGAAGAGATTAAACATGTACATGATTTAAACTTACTTACTGAAATACCTTATTAACTAAATCAGTTAAGTTGAAGAAATTTTACTTACATCTGTAAACTGGCGAAGTGAGTTGAACCATTTATAACAAGTTGATGATATGTGTTGACCATCCCCGTCCACTGAAGAAAATAATCTTGAGTTTAAAACTAATGAAAAGATTTTGATGAGTATTTTTTATATCGTATGCGCCAAGAAAATTTAAATGCCAAAAAAATCAAGGTAACCGGTTTATAAAGCATAAAGACGAAAAAGTTTCTAAGATTTTTGTTTCTGTGATAAAAATAATCATAATAAGGGAATTACCCCCCCCCCCCCCCTATTTTAATTAACTTTGGTGTTAAAATCAAAAGTAAAACTGCAGTTTGCCACTGTTGGCTGTTAACTCTTCATGAAAAACGCATAATCTTTTTTTAGACATAAAGGGGTAAGGGTGTTAACCAAGTAACATAGCATATTTGAATGTCAGTTTTTAAAACTGTTAACAATGTTAAAATATTATAAATGACAGGCTGCCAGAAACTAACCTAATCTATTACAAGCTCTATGATGATAAACTACACTACCACCACTTCTCTCAATTAAAATTCGCCTCATGTCATTCTCATAAAAGCAAACTTTGAGCGCTAGTACAACACTTTCAACAAATCCAGAACACTCTTCATCCTGCTCTTCAGGTTCAAGTTCATCTCTGGGCAATTCTTCCATAATTCTGAAAATGTTCTACCTTCGTGAAATCTAACGCTAAGAATTACCAGGATATCAGGATTATATTTTCATTTAAACCTCGTACTTCACAAACTTTCCTTAAATCTAGCATTTTATATAGTGCAGAGCTATACTTTTGTTTTTTTACGCATTTTTGATTTTGGTACTCAAAAAGAAAGGTACAAAGCTTTTGTATTTTCAAGATCCTCTGTTCCTGCGCCATCCTTTTAACTATTTGTGTTCTGAATTTTTTGTAAATTTGTCAGATTTTTTCAAAAATTTATACTTTCTAAGAAATACATGCAGAATACGTTTTTTTGCGGGAGTTTTAATTGCCAATTAATTTAATGTTTTTTAAAAAGCCGATCTTCTTAAATAATTTTGCATAACGGTTTTTTCTTCAATTTTTCTACGGTTCTTGAATATTTCAAGTATCTTTCATTGAGTTTTGAGTTTTACATTCCACATTCCTGACAGACAGGTTCGAAAAATTACTCAGTTCCGCAAATTTATTTCAATTCAAATCAAGAGGAAAAACAATGAAATTGCCCCGTATAATAATGAAGAAATGTCGTCGTTGTTCATCAGCTGACAACAGGTAAATAAACCAGTTTTGCCGCGGAACATCAAACTTGGAGAAATTTTGCAGATATAAGTTTAACGCTTTCCAAATTTCAATTTGCAAATTTTTAGTTTTAATCAACCAGCAAAGGAAGTGTTAAAGAATAATTTCTGTTTATATTTGTTTTTATCTAGAAGTAAACAATGGGTAATCAGCTGGATAGTGGACAAAACAAAAACAGACTTTTGAATGATGAAGAAATTTTTACTCTTCAAAAACATTTTGCAAATCGTGACGAAAAGGGTGATCTAAGGTATGGGTTTTAAGAATTCAGATTTATAGAGTAATCCCAAATGTCTCTTTAAACCATGTTGGTAATTTCCTACGATTTTTGGATTTCCCCGCAGGGGCGGATACAGGATTTATGTGAGGGGGGGGGGGCAAGATTTTTTAGGAACAAAAAATTTTTTTGACATAAAAGACTCAAAAAGAGTCAAAATTAATGGCTAAAGACTAAAAAACTAGATTTTTAAATTTTAGGAACAAAATTAAAGGATTAGAACAGGAATTTAGGAACAATTAAAAGATTGTTCAGGAATTAGGAACAAAAATAAAGGATTAGGACAGGAATTTAGGAACAATTAAAAGATTGTTCCGGAATTAGGAACAAAATTAAAGGATTCGGACAGGGATTTAGGAACAACAAAAAGATTGTTCAGGAATTAGGAACAAAAATAAAGGATTAATACCCAATAGACTAAACACCTTCAATTGTATGATTTATAAACAGATATATAACTATTTAATTATTACATAATTTTAGTTACGGTATTTTCATCTCTTTAAATGAAACAATGGTGCAAAGCTGTTGGATCTTTAATAATGCTCTCTCTGCAGTCAATTTTAACCGTCTTAATGAATGTTGCCTTTTAAAACCATGCTTACCTGAAGCTCCATTTATAATTTTGAACTTTCTTAAATTGCTGCAAAAACAGCACTGTTCTTTTATTTTATTAATCTTTTCTGTTACAGTTAATTGTTAGGTTCGTCTGCGCATTTTTTGTCAAAAACAAAAAATCAAAAATGTACTTGTTCTGATATATATATAAAGTTTATTTTTGTTTGTACTTTTTTGGATAATGAATAGATTTGAATAAAAATGATTTATAAACCATATTATACAGTTACACCGCCCTGGTAATTCCCTAATATACGATTTTTGGACCCTCTCCCCCCTCCTATCAATTTTTTACATGAATCTCATATGTAACACATGGATATAATTGGTCATGTGGCCACAGCGCCTAGCCCCCTAGCCTGTCCTTGCCGCGGCGCTTGTCCCCCTTCCGTCCTAGCCGCAGCGCTCGGCCCAGAAATGGTCTTAACCTAATCTAAAATAATAAAAAAAATAATATTTTTGCAGAAAAATGAGTGATCATGTACAAAATTAATAGCAGGGGGGGGGGTTTCCAAAAATCGTATACTAGGACTGACCCGCTTCTTATTAAAGACGGTCAATGTCGACTTGGCTAATTCCGTCATTTAAGGGTTCGTTTTAAAAAATATAACAATATATGTTGTATAATTATTTAACATTGATAATTAATATCTGTCTATCTAGACTTGGAGAATCCTGGAACTATATTGAAGATGGGTTAAAGAGGAATATTCAAGATTATCTGACGGTGAAAGGAGAAGGAATTAGCTTAGCTAAATACCAGGACTCAGCAGCCAACTCTTTAAAGGGAAGCAAGGACCAACAATTCAGGAACGGCTTCTCAGATTATTCTGACAATATATCACAATTTTATCTTTATAGTTTCTTGGACATTTCAATTCATTTTTATGACAAGATTATATCGGGAAATTTGAGGGAATGTTTTGCCCCAAGATATTCACGGGAAGTTTATCTTCTTCAGAAGGTCCATGGAGCACTTAATAAGAAATTTGAAATTTGAAATATTCCTAATTTTATGTGAGCCCTGAACTAGTTTCTTGTGTATGCTGGTATTTCAAGGTGAGAGTGTTGTCCAAGTGGAGAAATTAATTTCAACTCTCACCTCACTCTTCTCATCATTCACCAATATCTACTCCCCTTCACATTCAGGGTAATTCAGGGTCTCTTCAGGGGTCAACATTCTCTTGTAAAGATTCTCGCCATATGGTCTTCTTCCCAAAACCATTTTCCACGTTATCCTATTTTGGGTTATACTTGCTGATATACTTGCTGATGTTTTGAAAAATAAACGAATTCAGAGAATAGAGAGTAATTCTACCATTAATAAAGATGATCAAATGTTCTGATGGTTTATCTGTAATTTGATTGGATTAATGGAAACATAACAAATTATTTAATTTGAGATTGATTCTTTTTTATCAAAAGTATTTTTCTTAATTTCAAAAGAGAAAATAATGTAAAAGTATATGTTTTCAAATTAAAATTTTTAAATGTTTTTTACATAAAGATCCTTAAAACCTCATTTTTTAGTAAAGTTGAATGTCTAAGTTTATCTCTATCCTTGCTTCATGATACACTCTACCCTGGTCTCAAGAGGAAACAAACTATTGGAGCCGAGTTCGATCCATACATCGAGGTTATTATTTTAATAAACTTTTTGAGATTTTTTTTATTAATCGGATTGTGCACCAGGGTTCCATCTAGAAATTTTGTGGCAGTTTTTTTTACAATTTTTACAATTTTGTTATCAAACCTAGATTTATGTATTTAAATACTTTTTGTGGCATATTCTCTGAGCTGTGATGTAAAGTGTGGCTGATTGTATGTGGCAAGACATGATTTGTGGCATATTCTGTACATTTATATACTGTTAGTGGCATATTTTATTTATTTTGACAGATTTTAAGCGATAAGATATCATTTGTGGCTTTTATTTAGACATTAAAATTTATTTTTTGTGGCATATTTTTTATATTTTTGAGCCTGTTTTTGGGTAATCTGGGTGAAGTGGGTGTACACTGTACACTGTACAATGTGCACTCAAATTGATCCTAGATGAAACCTTGTTGTAGACGTAACTTTAAGTCACAAGTGTAATGTTCGATATAAAACAGTACTCTTTAAATCTGTACTACTCTGAGTTTTATAATAAGTTAGACATTATCGTGGTTTTTGCATCAGATAAAGGGATTCCCATACGCCCACTTCAGTTTTGTCCAGGTTAAAATAATTGCTTTTTTAGGTAGACACAGGGACCCTTGAGAATATATTCATCTATAATCCTCTTCTTGAATTGGTTCTTCAAAATATACTAGCTCATTGCTTTCAGCTTAAACATCTAGAGTTTAAAATAGGTAGGAGCCCCCCCATCCCCCGTCAATCCCAATTCTTTATGCTCAATAATCACCCACAATATTATAACAAAAATACGTTAGTTAAAAAGCGGGTTGTCTCCCTAATCTGCCGTATTCTATCCTATCCACACTCCACAGTGCGCTCGCTTCGCTAAACCCCACCATATTTACAGTACATATGGTGGCTACAGTCCGCATCAAAAGCATAGTCTAGGGTGTGCTAGGCCCTCTAGTGTCTCTTATCCGTAGCTCTTGGGAACCTCGTTAAATTAATTATTCCAATCAGGGGCGTATTCAGGAATTTGTCCAGGGGGGGCTTAAATTTTTTTTCCAGGGCGGGGGGCTCAGCACCCCTTGGGGCCTGAAAACCCCCTCTAATTCCAATGATTATTTAACAACTACACTTCTTTAGGAGTTCCATATCAGGAGTCTATATTTCCTTTACTTTCCCTTCTTTTCCTCAACTACAATCTTCCTAGTTTGTACAAGGATACATGGAGGTAAGAACTTTTGAAAAATCACCTTTTTATAAATATATTTTTTCTGCGCCAGGGATTAACAACGGTAATGAAATAGATTTGATGGTTTTCCTGTTTTCTTTTCTTTCTACGAACCTTTAATTATAATCTTTATTTTACTTAATTAATTTAATAATTAATCAAATCTTAGGTCTCTCTTCAGTATAAGACGAGACGGGGAGAGTTTTTCCAAATTCTCAGGATTAATAATTAACCGTGGTCCATCATTAATTATCATTAAAGGTAAAAATATTTATTAATTGAAATATTCTGGGACTCTAAAGCGAGTCGCGTCTTACTATCATTTTTTTCGGAGGTACCAATTTTTTTCTTCATTTATTGTTAAATAGCAGTTTCAGAAACGGGAAAATTCTATGTGTATTGTGTACTAAATATTTCCCCCGGGCTTCTTTCCAAAAATAATTTTTCACTCAGATGTGCTGGGATGAGAGGGAAGAAAACAAAAAGATAAAAAGGAATTACCGCGTAATTTAAAAAAAATTAACTTTTAAGGCTGACTTTTGATTTGATCAAGGATGGGGTATGTTTGATATAAGCAAAATATAAATATATAAATATAACCTGGGACCAATACTAAAAGGTGTTCAATTTTCATCTCAACCCCAAAGAGATGATAACGATACACAAAACAACAACGTTAACCACAACAACAACATCTATGATAAACAAGAGCATAATCATTGTTTAGATAATGAAGGAAATGTGTTTGGTGGATACTGTTCCAGTTCCTGGAAACCAGGTGAAGGGGATTGTGATCAAGGTTGTTGATTAATGTTAGATACTCTGGTTGCGCTCCTAAAATGTCGTCTTCATAGTAATGGACAGTCAAAATCCTCATAAGACTTAATTGAATATTGGCGGAAGATAAAGTGACAACATTCTTGGAGGATTTTCTCTACTTGTATCAAAGTTATCTAATCTTAATAAACAACCTTGATCCTGATCAGGGTTGGGCAATGAGCAATTGATAAGTTTTTAAGTTTCGAGAATATCCGTCCGGGGAGAAAATAGCTTTTATTTATAGATTTGTCTTCTCAACAGAAACTTGATATCAAACAAAAACTTCAAAGTTTTCGTTTTTCCAGCACAAACTTTGATTGTAAAAACGAAAGAAAAATATTATGAAAATGCAAGTATACTATAGATTGACCACCCGAGCTTAAATAATCAAATTAGTCCCGTTTTAAGAAAAAATTTACGATTAAAAACGGGAGATATTTCCCGGAAGACGTTGGGGGAGGTTTGGAAGCCCTATGGGGACGCGCACTGCGGAAAATAAATAAAATGAGGTTCGGAAGCTTTGCGGGGGAGGTTGCCTTCCCTTCCTCGCAGGGGGGTCGACCCATAAAGTTTTAACCATTTTAATACAATGTTAGAGAAGAAAAGCAATGTTAAAACATATAAAATTTATTAGTTAACATTTATTAAAACGCATTTAGTTATAAAATGTATTTTAAAGGGGGTTAGGGTAAAAAAGGTTATATCCTCTTAAATGTCGTTTTCCCCACAAATCATCAAACAATTAATATTTACTCAAGACAAAGATAATTTTAAATGCGTTTTTCAAATAAAAAACATTAATGAATATCGGAAAATGTTATAACGTTGTTTTTACGTCTGAAATTGCGTTGAAATGGTTAAAACTTTAGGAGGAGTCCGCTCCATGCAAGAGTCCGCTTCATGCATGACACCGGCCCTAACTTTTTTTCACACAATTTTTTTTCATAACAAAACTGCTAGAAAGTTCTCTTTGGCAATTGTAAATGTGAAAAAAAACTGATAGAAAGGTCTCTTTGGCAATTACAACTGTGAAAAAAAAAACTGCTAGAAAGGTCTCTTTGGCAATTACAACTGTGAAAAAAACTGCTAGAAAGGTCTCTTTGGCAATTACAACTGTGAAATAAAGCTGCTAGAAAGGTCTGTTTGGCAATTACAACTGTAAAAAAAAATTGCTAGAAAGGTCTCTTTGGCAATTACAATTGTGAAAAAAATACTGATAGAAAGGTCTTTTTGGCAAATACAATTGTGAAAAAAACTGCTAGAAAGGTCTCTTTTGCAATTACAACTGTGAAATAAAACTGCTAGAAAGGTCTCTTTGGCAAATACAATTGTGAAAAAAACTGCTAGAAAGGTCTCTTTGGCAAATACAATTGTGAAAAAAAAACTGCTAGAAAGGTCTCTTTGGTAAATACAATTGTGAAAAAAACTGCTAGAAAGGTCTCTTTGGCAAATACAATTGTGAAAAAAAACTGCTAGAAAGGTCTCTTTGGCAAATACAATTGTGAAAAAAAACTGCTAAAAAGGTCTCTTTGGCAAATACAACTGTGAAAAAAAACTGCTAGAANGGTTAATTTTTGGGTAAACCGTTTAAAAATTGGGATTAGGAGACTTGATCAAATTAACTTATTGTTTTAGGTCCCAATTTTATTGGAAGTTCTGAGTGTTTCCTCTTTCAACTTCATCCTCAGCTAAATATATATGATTCTACCCCATTTAACACTAATTATCAGGTACTACAGGAATCTACTGTATTTAAAGGAACATCATTTAACAATAAATGAATTCCTCCTTATCATAAAAGGTCTTAAACACCGTTGTGAATTTGACACGTCAACTCTTCAAATGGAGCTGGTCCCTTGATGATATTTCTATATTAATTTTCAAGAAACTGATGAATCTCCTCAAATTGAATTTTCGAAGTCCAAAATTTTTGCGATCCGCTGTTGTAAAGATTTAATTTTTCAATTTTTTTAGATATAAAACTTGCATTTAATATTTTTTTGAGTTATTTTTTTAATTTTTAGTAGTTAAAAGAATATCTATGTTATGGAATCTAATCTAAGAACACCGAAACAAGTATAAAGTTAATTTGAAACTGTTCTCATTGTGGAGAAAAAACACGACCAAAGCAACATCATATTTGTCATATTAAACAGTATTTTTTTTAGTACTTCAACTTGAAGCAGAAAACAATGCCCAATGGACTAGGAATGGGGGGACAACTCGAATATTTTGGATTCTGGATTGATGCAGAGTTTGGAATTGTTCGAACCTCTCCTTCATGTAGTACATTCCACTCACCACAGCTAGGCGTTCAGGTCTCCTCTTAAACAATCTAAGGCAGGGGTTCATCTAGGAATTTTGTGGGGGGTGTAATGCTTCTATTTTGTGGCAGATTTTCGTTTTGTGAAATTTTTTTTGATAATCTTATATTTAAATGGAACGTCTTTAAAAAAAAAATTTTTTTGTTAAAAATGTATATTTTTTGCACAGAAGTAAAAGATTGCATGTTTAATGTTTTACATTTTATTGTATTTTCATTACTGAACGGGAGAAATTAATTTTGGGAGCAACTTGTTATAATAAGATGTAGTATTTAGTAAAATGCTCATAGTTTATTGAAATCTTACTAATGGACCAATTCAACTGTAGAAAAGAACGACGACATTTAAGCAATTTTATTTTAATTTCATGTTGTTATGAAGCAAATAGTTACGCTTGTAGTTTGTAAATGTTTTATAAAGTGAAATGAGTCTGTGTTAGAGAAGGTGGAGCAGGATCTGTTCTCAACATGGATCCTGAACCCCAGGTAAGGACCTGAACCAGATCAGGGCGGAGAAGGTGGAGCAGGTTCTTTTCTCAACATGGATCCTGAACTCCAGGTAAGGACCTGAACCAGATCAGGGCGGAGAAGGTGGAGTCGTTTCTTTTCTCAACACGGATCCTGAACTCCAGGTAAGGACCTGAACCAGATCAGGACGAAGAAGGTCGAGCAGGTTCTTTTCTTAACACGGATCCTGAACTCCAGGTGAGGACCTGAACCAGATCAGGACGAAGAAGGTCGAGCAGGTTCTTTTCTCAACATGGATCCTGATCTCCAGGTAAGGACCTGAACCAGATTAGGACGGAGAAGGTGGAGCAGGATCTGTTCTCGACATGGATCCTGAACCCCAGGTAAGGACCTGAACCAGATCAGGGCGGAGAAGGTGGAGTCGTTTCTTTTCTCATTATGGATCTTGAACTCCAGGTAAGGACCTGAACCAGATTAGGAGGGAAAAGGTGGAGCAGGTTCTTTTCTCAACATGGATCCTGAACTTCAGTTAAATATTATTTAAAAGGAGTGTCAATTCTGGAAAATTTTCTCAAATTTAGTATTGTCAACGTTTTTAAACGTATCTGTATCTAGGCTGTGATGGAGATGATGGGTAAGAGTTTTCACAGCAAGATTATCAGAGAGGTGGATGCCAGGGAGGAGAAGGAAAGCAACCTTCAGGACAAAAACCAGTCAACTTGAACACTCATGGATAATTTCTACTTCAATTGAACACTGATGCATGGATAATTTCTAGTTCACTTGAACACTCATTGATAATTTCTAGTCAACTTGAACACTCATTGATAATTTCTGGTCAACTTGAACACTCAAAGACAAGCACTTTTTCATTTGATCACTCATGGATAGTTTATATTCTACTTGAACACAAAAGAAGTTGACCTTGAACACTCACGGATAATTTTTAGTCTAATTGAACACTCGTGGATAATTTATAGTCTACTTAAAAACTCATGGATAAGTGAAGTTCACTTGAACACTCATGGATAATTTCTAGTTTACTTGAACACTCGTGAACAAGTTCTAGTTCATTTGAACTCATCAACAATTTCTAGTTTACTTGAAAACTCACGGATAAATTCTAGTCCATTTAAACTCCCATGGACAAGATCTAGTTCATTTGAATTTACAGACAAGTTCTAATTCACTTGACATACACGGACAAGATTTAGTACAGTGAACACTCATGAACAAGTTCTAGTTCATTTAAACTTAAATACAAGTTCAAGTTCACTTTAGCACTCGTAGACGAGTTCAAGTTCTAGTCTACGCATGGAAATTATTTATTCATTGATTTATTGTTTGTTTTATAAGGAACAAAACTTTTTAATGGAAAGCCAAAGGTAATTTGTTTGAGTTCAAATTAAGATAAAGGATTTTACCTCTCAAGCTGTAATAATTTTTAACGTCAAGTAACGAATCTAGTCATAACAGATTAGGAAGCAAAAAGTTTAATTGCATTTAAATAGTATTGCAGGGGTAAATGTTCGTTGCTTGAAAAATCACCCAACCCCCGTTAAAAATATTTATTATTTATCCCTGGAGGATTGTTATTTATTATTTATTATTATCTATTTATAATTCATTACCTAATTAAATTGTACCTCAAATCTTNTCATGGCTGTTAATGAGATATCCTTAAAGTTTTGAATTTATAGCTGAAAATTGATTATTTACAAATGTGATTTCTCTCAACGACTTTTGGTATTTATGCTTCAGAGACACTCTATAAAAAAATGGATTTTAGCACTTTTAGTAAGAAAATGCCTAAATCTTCCTAAGAGATATTCTCGTAGAGGCGTTAAGGTCACCAATGTGAATCGGACATGCAAATATAGAGTCACTTGAAATTGCTTCTTTACTCCAATACAAACTCACTTTAAGTTTTTATGAATTTTTCCTCTCAATTTATAACAGTTTTATTTTGCAAAAGGTTTTAAGATAAAGTATAATTCCAGAGATGGAATTTAAAGAATTTGAGCCGCGGTTTAAATCCGCCAAAACCCGGTTTAAATTAAGCGCCGGCTTAAATCTTGAAACATTTGATACAATTTTAAGTGGAACCAACCATATTTAAACTGCCGCTCAAATTCTTTAAATTCGGCCACAGGGGTTCAATAAATTATGATCAAATTGATTAAATATGGATCTGCAGCACAACTAATATCGCAGTTTTGTAAAAGCCAATTAAAACTAGAATTTTCTGCATTTACTGACATTTTACGAAAAATGATTAATTACAGATGGGGTAAACCAATAAAATGTCAGGTTTGTTCTATAGAGTTATCGAGTCCAGGGACTTGTCAAAGGTAAATATATATATTATACAACAACCTAGGTCTGATTAAACATCTACGGAGTAGTTCAGAAAACTTTTTCCTTGAACTTAAACCTCACAAAATGCATATTTATATCTTATCTACTATTGACTTTAATTGATTTGATTTTAATTCCTATTTTTTGGACAAAATTGTTGTATCCATCCTATCCATCCTATCCATCCTATCCATCCTATCCATCCTATCCATCCTATCCA